TAGGACCTGGCATATACCAGGCATTGCTCCAAGCCCTTTACATATTAGTTCATTTAATGCCCAATGACATAGATACTATGTGTATTGTTACCATTTTACAGATAAGGAAACTGAAGCAGAAAAGTTAGACTAAGGTGATACACATAGTAGATGGGAAAGTGAACTTCAACCCAGGCGATCTGATCAGAACTCCACAAATTGCCTCTCTAATAAACAATATGTAGATATGGCACTTGTGAAATGTGCCTCCCTTTAATCAATGTTTTGTCAATGTAATGAAAAAATGCCTAACAAAGAATAAGTACACTGCTAAAAACATTTCCTTCATTGACTATTTATCGATAAGCAAAGAAAGAGAGGTATGTTGACATATATGAATTCATTCTATTATATGGTTCCCTTGGTAATCCTCATGATCTCTATTTAAGTAGATTAATATTCCCAGTTTTCAGTGTTGGAAACTAAAAAGCCAAAAATTTTAAAAACTCACAAAGGAACAGGAGCCTAGGTCTGATTGACTTTCAAACCTACTCACATATTCATGGAACATCAATTTATGCCAAGACTTTGTGCTAGATATTAAAGATACAATTGTATGTTTTAAAATCCAGGATTTTTAGAGCTTATAATGGAGGAGTCAAATAATCAAAAGATGAAGACAAATAACAAACTAATAAATGTTATAAAGTGTCCTGAGGGTATATGAGAAACCTGACCTAATCTAAAAATGTCAGGATGAGTTTCACTAAGGAAATATCACTTAAGCCATGGTTCCCAAACTGTAAGCCAAGATGCCCTGGAACACTACAGCAAATTCGCAAAAGAGCCCTGTGTTTAAGTTTTCAAAAGAAACACAGCAATCCTAGATATGTTAGATACCATGTGAACTACCAGTTCAAAGTAGCTCAGTTTCAACATGAGATCATGGTACAGTCCTTTCAATGACATCATATCTTTGTGATTGTTTTTTTGTTTGTTTGTTTTGGTGGGCAGTTGCTATAATAAAAACAAATACCACATGAAAATTAATGTGAAAAAGGAAAAGAAGGTGGAAATGTCTAATTTGATTCCAAGACATGAGAAACTGCTTCAGAAGGGCCAAGGATTCTGTGGACCATTTCTTTTTCTGAAAAGTCAAAATTTCATAAAAAAAAACAAAAACAAAACCCAATACTCCACCAAGAGCAAAAAGTCCTATTTTTAAATACTGAACATTAATATCCAATGAATTTTTTTTTTCTAACTACCTTCTTTTGAGTGCTAATCTGTTTGGGGGATTTATAATTAGGAACTTGAAAATCTGCTCAGCATACCATTAATTCACTGAGCATAAACACAAGTGTCACATGAGAAATCCAAGGAAGACAAAGGTTGGTTTCATTCACACTTCTGGTCCAAAAATTGAAAGCACTAACTACTACTTGAGCGCCCCCTGGGGACCAATTTTTTAAAATTCATACATCTTCAGAGGATTCACACATCTTCTATTAATATTCATCCAACAATTACTTATTAAGTACATACTATGTGCCAGACAAAATTTTCCACAATAGAGACACAAAAATGAATAAAATCAAGTTTCTGCTTTCTGTATGCTTAAAATCAATAGCATCACAAACTTTTTCTAGGTATATTATGTAGGATGGCAATGCAAAATACGAGTTATACATAGAGGTCATGAGGAAGTTATGACACAGATGACAAATATACTTTTTGGGTGCGACAGAATACAATTTGGCATGGATATAAACCTTAGTCATAATTTGTTTATGAAAGTAAAATGTTCACACTGTGTAAGACAGCAGGTTTAAATATTTCTTCCACAAACACATATAAATAATTTTATATGTGTTTGTTGGAAGAAATTATGGTTGCTATTTTAAAAACTAAGTTTAGATTATAGTCCCACAATTTCTCTTAGTTCATAAAAACAAATGTAAATAAAGCTTATTTATAAAGATTCAAAAATAATACAGCAACCCCATAATTTTTTTTATAAACAAGTCATTACAAAATAATTCCATTCTGGGCACTTAATTAGTAAAGTATTTCACTGCTTGACTGACTGACTGATTATTTATTGGTACCAGGAATTGAACCTAGGGGTGCTTTACCACTGAGCTACATCCCCAGCCCTTTTTATATTTTATTTTGAGACAGGGTCTAAGTTGCTGAGGCTAGCCTCAAACTTATGATCCTCCTGCCTTAGCTTCCAAATTGCTGGATTGCAGGCATGTGCCACTGCTCCTGGCTTGCACTGATTTTTAAAATGCTAATTTTCAAAAATAAACTTAGTACAAAAGGTCAGAGATTTAGAAATAATTAGTTAGGGAAAAAAAAAAAAAAACTGGAAAAAGACCAGTATGAATAAACAGGCAAAGTTAATCTCAAAACTTCCTCACATGTTTTCTTCTCAGTTGGGAACATTTTCAGAAGGATATCCTATCAAATTGCCTTTCCCTTCTTATGAAGCAAATAGCAGAATAGAATGCAGCCTCCAGAGGAAAAAATATGTACCAGCTTTCCTACAACCACACTCCTTTTCCTTAGCTGCAATGTTCCAGGGTCTTAGACATCCTCAGGTTCTGTGGAAAGGACTCAGATGTACTTACAGTAGCTAGGGCTGGAAATCAACATAATTTTCCCAAAGAAAATTCTATTTCAGCTACATTTCAGGTACCCTATGAACTAAATTAGCTTGAACATGATAGCTGCAGAATTTAACACTGATGCAGATATCTTTTTCCCTACCAAAAAAAATAATTTAGTTCAAAACAATATTATCTTTTGGAATTCAGTTTATGAATCCTATTTAAAAAGAATACTGAGCCAGGCTGGGTACAATGGTGTACATCTATAATTCAGTGACTCAGGAGGCTGAGGTAGGAGGAATCCAAAGTAGAGACCAGCAGCAACTTAGCAAGGCCCTCAACAACTCAGAAAGACTCTGTCTCAAAAAGAAAAAGCCCTAGGGATGTGGCCCAGTGATAATAAAGCGCCCCTAGGTTCAATTCCTTTTGTAACAAACAAACAAACAAAATACTGAACCAAAATACAATAGACTCACAAAAGGAAGTTTTAATAATATAATACATTATAGGTATATCTCAGGTATATCTCACATAGAATTCAATTGGTAAGAATATTCTTTGTTCAGTAATAGCTGATTATACTTTTAAGCCTGTTAACTTCTTTACTTTGTTCAGTAATAGCTGCTAATATTTTAAACCTCTTAATTACCAATTATTGGATTCTAGTAATATGGGTAGAATTAATTTGTGTGTGGACATTTAATGACACCTCATCATTCAGAAAGAAAATACTTAAATGTACTCAAATAAAATAGTCATTAACCAATTTTTAAAAGGTAATACTACTTCAAATTAAAAAAAAAACTATAAGAACATCACGAAGTTTAAAGTACGGAAAAAAAAATCATTTGCATCTGTGTTCAAGATATCTTGCCTCATTTAATATTCACCAATACCATAAAGGATAGGTATTTCTATTTTCTTCCTTTTTACAAAGCTCAAAGTAACCTCTCTGGTGTTAGGGAAACAGTAACTGCAATCACAGTTTGAATACATATTTGATTGACTCAAATCTTTGCTCCTCCCCCTACCATGCTATTTATGTGAATTATTCCATATATAAAACAAAAACATGAAATCATCCACTTCTCACTTATCTTTTAAAAAGTGCAAACCCAACAAAATTAAAATGAGAAAAATAGTATGTATTTTTGGCTTAACTAGTTCCTAAAAATAATTGATAATTATAAATACAACGGTAAAACAATGACTTCATAACACATCTTACTTTTTCTGGTCTCTACAGAATAAAATATAGGACATGAGCTGATTTATGAACAAAGAGAAGTAAAAGCCCAAAGCAAATATAGGCCATATCCTGGAAAAGGAGGAAATCATTTTACAAGTTCTAAGTCAAAAACTTTTGTTGGTCACTGAGTTTCACAGTGATTTTTTGAGTGTTTTACGCCACCACAGATCACCTCTTCCGTTTCTAGATATTTTGGTTTTGTTTGTTTTTTAAAATATATTTTTAGTTGTTGATAGACCTTTATTTTGTTTATTTATTTATATGTGGTACTGAGAACCCAGTGCCTCACACATGCTAGGCAAGCGCTCTATCACTGAGCCACAATCCCAGGCCTAGATATTTTATTTTTTTAATCTCCCGAACTGTCCATTAATCCTTCTTAACGGTATCACTGCAGATAACCACGCTTCTTTCAATTTTAACTGGTAAAGTTATTGCACCTTACAGCAAAAGAAAGAAAACAGAAACGTAAACTTTGCGTTACGAAGTGTTTGATATTTTCAGTCAATCTGGGTGCAGAGCCTCTTACTTTATTAGGTGGGACAGGTGAGGCTCCAGGAAAGGAAGTGACTTGCCCAAGGACAAAGCGTGAGCTGACGACAGGGCCAGAGGCTGAGCTTAAGCTCGATACAGCGCTCCGTCACCCTTCCCAATCACAGGGCAGGATCTAGCCTCCGGCTTGGCACTGCCCCGAAGCCAGCAGTGGACTGGGCCCAAAGTGCACTCACAGTTCACTGGGCGCGCTGCCACGCAAGGCTTCTTTATAGGGTAAGGGCTGGAAGTTTGAACGGCCTGCAGAAAAGCGCAGAAAGCAAAACCCCATCTCCCTCTTTAGAAAGCCGCGCACGGCCTCGAGCCCAAATCCGCGCTCCCCATCCTCACCCTCCACACACACCCGCGGCACACTGACCTCCACGCCGGACCTTCTCCCCGCCCACTTGTGAGACGCATCTGGTCCCCCAAACGCAAGGAAAAGGGGGCGCAGGAATAAGCTCCCCCGGCGGCCCCCGTGGCAGGACCGCGCACCACGCGCCGGCGCCCCTCGCAGCTGCCACGCGGGCGGCGCGGTGGCCGCCGGGACGCGTAGTCCGCGGACGCGACCGGGGGGCGCGGACCGCGTCGCCGCAATCCCCGGGAGCCCGCCGCTGCCCGGGCCTCACCTCGACGATGCGGGCGCACTGGGTCCCCTTGCCGGCGCCGGGACCGCCGAGGACGAACACGACCAGAGGCTTCATGAGGCTGCGAGGGCAGAGAAGTGGCAGGCGGGTCAGCAGCGGGGAGCTTGGGCCCAGGACGTGCAGCAACCGGACGCAGCAGCGCCTCAGCATACACCGAGTCTCTGACAGCGCCCGGCGCGGCGCGGGCGGGGCGGAACGAGGCGGGGCGGGAGCCGGTGAAGAAAGGGGCGGGCCGAGTGGGCGCCGCGGCCCCGCCGCGGTAGCTGCCCGGGCGTCCGCCGCGGCCGGAAGGGGCGGGGCCTGCGCAGTGCGTGGGCGGTACCGCCGCGTGGCATCCGGCGGGGCCGCACCCCCTTCTTTCTCATCCCGGGCTGGAGCCGGCGCTTAGGGCCCTCGGGTTGCGGTTATTTCGTCCTGGACTTCGGAGTGTGTAGATCTGTTCCGGGGCTGGCGCGTGGTACTCGGTAGCGCCAACCCACTGTCTCGGCTCACAATATGGGGGTAGTCGAACTGAATAAATGCCCGAACAACTAAGTACAAACAACTGTATGATTTTGAATGAAATAAAGGAAGGAAAAGCAAAGATATGATTTGATTAGGGTAGAGAAGGCTTCTGAAGAGGTGACGTTTAACCTAAGACAAAAAGTAAGGTAAACTCAAAAACAGACGACTCCTGTGATAGCATGTCCCACAAAGGGAGGAAAACACGGAGATCCGTGAGACCAGGTCTCCGTGGAATGAAGGGAGAATGGAAGAAGAGGTAAGGTCATCTTTTAGTTATGGAAAGGAACTTGGATTATAGTCTGATTACAGTGGGAAATCCTAAACTATAACTCCATTTCACTGCGTCGTTTAGTAGTGGAAAATCTTAACGGAGAAGAGTTAAGAGTCCCAAAACAGGTTGGTGAACACAAACCTTTAAAAGTTGGAGAGAGGAGGAGGACATTGAAAAGATCTAGAGAGGTAGAATGGAAACCAGGAGAATATACTCCCAAAGACAGGAGAATATTTGGAATGAGATTGTGGTGGTGTTGTGGCCAACAATGTATTAAAAGCAGATGTACAGATAAATTAGATTTGGCAACAAGGAGACACTGATGATGTTGCCCAAAGACATGACAATAGAATGCACTTTGACACATCATACATAAATGGAGTATAATTTCTCACTTTTCTGGTTGTACATGATGTAGAATCACACAGGTGGTGTAATCATATATGTACATAGGATAATAATGTCTGATTCATTCTACTATCCTTCCTACCCTCAAACCCTCTCCCTTCCCTTCATTTCACTCCCCTCTACCTAATCCAAAGTAACTCTATTCTTTTCTACTCCCCCTTATTGTGAATTAGCATCTGCATATCAGAGAAAACATTTAACCTTTGGTTTTGGGGGATGGCTTATTTCACTTAGCATGATATTCTCTAGCTCCATCCATTTAACCTGCCAATGCCATAATTTCATACTTCTTTGAGGCTGAGTAATATTCCGTTGTGTATATATACCATTTTTTTTTTGTACTGGGGATTCTTTATCCATTCATCTGTTGAAGGGCACTTAGGTTGATTCCGTAGTTTAGCTATTATGAGTTGAGCTGCTATAAACATTGATGTGGCCGCATCACTGTAGCATGCTGATTTTAAGTCCTTTGGGTAGAAACTGAGGAGTGGGATAGCTGGGTCAAATGGTGGTTCCATTCCAAGTTTTCTGAGGAATCTCCATACTGCTCTCCATAATGGTTGCAACAATCTGCAGTCCCACCAGCAATGTATGAATGTACCTTTTTCCCCACATCCTTGCCAACTTTTAAAATTGCTTATGTGTTTTTGTTTTTGTTTTTTTTTTTTGGAGGGGGTTGTTTTTGTTTTGTTTTGTTTTGTTTTTGTTGTTGTTGTTGTTGTTTTGGTACTGGGGATTGAACTCCGGGCCACTGAGCCACATCCCTGGTTCTTTTTTGTATTTTATTTAGAGACAGGGTCTCACTGAAGTTGCTTAGGGCCTGGCTAAGTTGCTGAGTCTGGTTTTGAACCTGTGGTCTTCCTGCCTCAGCCTCCTGAGAATTTTCATTCTGACTGAATTGAGATGAAATCTAGAGTAGTTTTGATTTGCATTTCTCTAATTGCTAGAGATGTTGAACATTTTTTCCATATATTTGTTGGTCAATTGTATTTCTTCTGTGAAGTGTCTGTTCAATTCCTTAGCCCATTTATTGATTATTTGGTTTTTTGGTTTTAACGGTTTTTTTTTAGTTCTTTATATCCTGGAGATTAATCCTCTATCTGAAATGACATAAAATTCTTAAAGAGGAAAATGTCCACTTCTGATAGTTGCAAGAAAATTACAATTGTGGCAAGGTTTGAAGATTGATGAGAGTAGGAAGATGATGAGAGGGGTTCTATCTAATGTTTGTTTTCTCAGAAAAGAAAATGCAGTATCAGCTTAGAGTAAGGAGAAAGAGTAGGATGATTGAGGAAAGAAAAAGAATGAAATAAATACCTTTGAGAGTAAATAAGTGGTTTTCTAAAGAAAGCTAATTGGTAGGACTTCTGGGTAATTTAAAATAATTGAAGATGTTCTGCTGTTCAGGTGAAGGCAGAAAAGACAGATAGTTGAATTCATTCAGGGTTGGGTTTTCCTGGCAAGTACAAGAGAGCTTAAAGCCAAGAGAGCTGAGGATGTTTGCATGACAATATTTATGGTGATATAGAGATAAAACTATACAGAAGGGTACTACCAGAGAAATGAAAAGCTATGCTCCATTTGTGTGCAATGAACTGAAATGCATTCTGCTGTCATGTATAACTAATTAGAACAAATAAAAAAATATATACAGGAGTGGATAGGGTTGTGGCTCAGTGGTAGAGCTCTTGCCTAGCACACGTGAGGCACTAGGTTCAATTCTCAGCACCACATTAAAAAAATATATAGTGTGTCCACCTGCAACTAAAAATATTTTTTTAAAACTGTACAGGAAAGTAAATAATGGTATGTGAGGTCTGATATTCAAGAGTGGTGGGGAAAGGGACTAAGGTATTAGAACACTGACTGGAGAATGGTTGCAGTGGGTAATTTAAGAAAGTGAACTGGCAGTACAGATGCGGTGGTCAATGTGGGATGTTTGAAATTGACATTTTAGAGATTGTGAGTTTTTCATCATGCCTAGGTCCAGGTTGAACTCATGTGGGGCAAGACTCCAAGAATGGAAAGCTAAAGAAGAATGCATGTTGTTAAAACTGAGAGACCAGGGTATTAGATTTATCATCCAGGTAGAAACTAAAGTCAAATATTATTCCAGTGAAGAGAGACTATGAGGAAGAAACTCAGTTGCTGAGGGCAGAGTGATCAGGAAATTGGTAAATGATAGCAAACAGGAGAGGAAAATGGTGGTTTGGCTCTCTCTCAGACTATTCTTATTATTTTCCTTCCACTATCTGTTTTCTCTTTGCTTACCCTGTTCAGGACCATACAGCGTCTATGGCTTCAAAATCTGCATTTTACTATACAAATGCTGACTCCATAAAAGTTCTATACTCAAAAAATTCCTCGAAGTGTTACATTACAGGCAAGAAAAGTGATTGCAGAAGGATATATGGCAAAAGCTATCCTTGGAACTCACCCCTACCCATATTTGTTTAGTTATTATTAAGCACATTAGGTCTTTTGACATGTATTCAGTGCATGAGTAGTATTCCCAAGGTATAGCTATGTTCCTAGTACAGTCTCTAGAGATTTAAGAAATAGGGCCTTGTTGCCACTCATCTGTCCTAGTTATAAAAATTGCCCTTTAGAATTAGCTTATCTGTCCCATATTGTCATTCCCTTTGGTTATGTTTTGTTCATTTTTTCAGGATTGAGCTCTAGGAAGTTTTCTCTGAATTGCCAAGACTGGGTTAGGTGCATCCTTTTGTACTTCTATCAACTCTCTGATTACTTCTGTTGGAACACTGTGTTGTACTGGGTTTCTTCCCCAGCCAGCTGAACAATCTAGCTCTACTTTTAGAGTTCCTTGAAAGGATTGTGTCTGATTACTCTTTGTACAGTATTGAACTAAGTAAATGATGATATCATTATTACAACATGATTCACTTTCTTATGTATGTTGGTCGCATGCTTTGTATTCAGGCTTTCATTACCATCTGTTGTATTGTCATCTATTTCCTACTGTGTTGCTTACCTCTTTGCATAACCTGATGCTTAATGGAATTGTTGGTTTGTTGTTATTGGTTTTTCTTTCTTTCTTTCTTTTTTTTTAATGAAGGCCCCTATTACATCTGCCTGGTCATTGCTGCAAGACTTTGTCAAGATTCTGAGAATATTAATTAAGAGAAACATCATCTTTAAAAATCTGATGTGCTAAGTCTGGCAACAAACAATATGCTTACACTCTTGGGAATGACTTTGTCAGATGAGCTTAGTCAGTTCTATATTATAGAACTGCAGGTAGGCCAATGAAGGGAGATTGTCTTAAGCTGATATTATAGCATCTTTGCATCTTTGCTCATTAAACTTTGCAAGTTTAGGTAGGTTGGTATAGCTACAGTTTTCTTGTCTGCAGAGTAAGAATAATGGTACATTAACTCGGTTTAGCAGTTTTGTTTTGTTTTGTTTTATACCATGGATTGAACTAGGGATGCTTAACCACTGAGCCATATCCCCAGCCTTTTTATTTTTTATTTTGAGACAGGGCCTTGTTAAGTTGCTGAGGCTGGCTTTGAACTTATGATCCTCCTGCCTCAGCTTCTCTGAGCCACTGGGATTACAGGTGTGCACCATGTCCCTGGCAGCAAATACTTTTAAAGAAGTTACCAGCATGTGATAAATATGAAAGAAATTTCACATAAATTGACAGATTGGCAATCCCCTTAAAATTTAATTCCTTAAAAAGCAAAGTTATACTTGTTTTTAGAAAGCAATCATACAACTTAGCTCAGAAGTATAAATTGAGAAAGGGATAGTTGAGTATTTGGAGAAACTTAATACAGTAAATAAGTAATCAAACAAGGGAAGAAGAGAACTGATTCCAACTTCCCTGTTCTTGATGGTAAGACTAGGTCTTTAATCCTCACAAACAGCTTGTTAGCAAGCAAATCATGGTTTATGACACTAAGCATTTACCTAGTCTAATTGTAAAGACCATGTCACACGGATATTGCAAGGAAAAACAGTGCATTAGTGTATTGTAATTATAATGTAATTATAACAAGTATTATAATATT